TGTGTGTGTGTGTGTGTGTGTGTGTGTGTGTGTGTGTGTGTGTGTCTGAGAGGTTAAGAGCACTGGCTGTGCTTCCGAAGGTCCTGAGTTCAAGTCCCAGCAACCACATGGTGGCTCACAACCATCTATAGTGAGATCTGGAGCCCTCTTCTGGTGTGCAGGCACACATGCAGGCAGAATACTGTATAAACAATAAACAAATCTATAAAAAATAAAAACAAAATAAACAAACTGAAAGGCACCAGAAAGTACATCTAGGTAACATTGTGTCTTCTTCGAGGGTTCTTCCCAGTACTCACCTGGGTAAACATAGCAGGTATCAGCAGTCGGTGGGTGATAAAGAAGCTGAAAGCAATCCCAGGAAGTTCCATCCTGCAGGTCTAGTCATGTTAGAAGCCAGCTCCTCCCTGGCATAGAGCAGCTCCCAGGGATCTATCAGCAGGTTTTGGGGCACAGTGTAAAAGTGGTGCCCCAAGCTCGGGGCCGCACACGCCTCAGAAGAGGTGTGGTCCGAGGAAGCCGTGTTTCTGAGATTGCGTGGCTACTCAACAGTTTATTAAGATGTAGTCCCAAGCCCCAGAAGTCATCAGCAAAGCCATCCTCAGAATACTTTTCTCTCTGATCTCCTCTATCCTGTGTGAGCTGAGTGGAGAAAAGCAAATTCACCAATTTTCCAGTTGATGAATTGGGCCTGGCTTGTAACTTGCCCTTTTCACAGGGCGACTTATTTTACCTTTGATTTTTGTTGTTTTGTTTGTTTGCTCTGAGACAGAGTTTCTCTGTGTAGTCCTCATTAAACCTTTTAGGTTTTTAGACAGGGACTTATAACCTGGGATGGTCTCACTCTTGGCAGTCCTCCTGCCTCAGCCTCCTGAGTGCTCAGATTACTGGCACCAGTGGCCTCACTCAGCTTTGCTTAAATCTTTCATTGTTTAAAGATGACCTCCTGAACCTGTGAGTGGAGCTTGTTAAGAATGGGTGGACGCGAAGCATACCCAATCCCTATGGAGTCTTGAGCCTCTTCTCTGGCTAGCACTTAGGTCAGCTCTTTCATCTTGACATCACTCACACATCGTTCGTGCTGTGGAAGCCTAACAGGCCCTTACATAGAAACTGCGTGATTTGGTAACAAGAAGACCAGTTGGATTGCATTATTGGCAGTACATCCCAGGGAACAGATGTTCCCATTCAGATCCCTGAAACTGCCAGCGTTACGACCAGCAGTCAGGACACTGATTAATGGTGAAGAGCACTGTGTCAGGCTTTACGCTCAGCTGTGAACCAGACTCATACTGTCATCCTTTCACAAATGTAGACTTCACATTTAAATACTATCCCTTGGACTTGGGTCCTAATTCTTCCTCAGTGTGCTCTTTAATGTGTCTTTATCAAACCACAGCCCTGCTCCTTTAAACATCACACTCAATACTCCTTCCTGAGGAGCTAGCACCTCCAGGTGCTCTGAAGGTATTTTTGGTGTGTTAAAAGAAAATGTGTAGTCTTTGGTCATACCACCCTGAACGTGCCTGATCTCGTCTAGTCTTGGAAGCTAAGCAGGGTCGGCCCTGTTCAGGACTTAGATAAGAATACCAGGTCCTGTAGGCTTGAAAGAAAATGTGTATTAGCTGACAGGACATGGACAGAACTGTGGGCAACTCCAGTCTAGACAGGAGTGCCTTGCTGAGTCACCTGCCTTTGTTTGTCCCTTACATGCCCTGGGAATGAAGGATCCTCATGGGGTTTGTATAAAAACCTGTGTTTGAATCCAGGGTGTCATCTTGAGAGCAAAGTAAAAAGACAGCCTCGTTCTTTCTCCACCCAGGTCCTGCCACCCCGTGTCCTCCATGAGCTGGGCTTTGCTGCGTCTGCCTGCACCGTTGGTCAGGACATGCTCAGGGAGTCAGGGAATCAGGCTTCCGGGGAAGCCAGCACTGCTCTTTCCAGGAGTGGCTGCCACTGCAGTGCAGGTGGCAGGCAGGAAGGACTGTCGTGCTCTGCTTCCCCTGAATGAGCGTGAACTTGAAGAACAGTTTGTGAAAGGACATGGTCCAGGCGGCCAGGCCACCAACAAAACCAGCAACTGTGTAGTGCTCAAACATGTACCCTCCGGCCTCGTGGTCAAGGTAAGGGGGTAGGGTGCCAGGCAAGTGAGGGGGTCCAGGTCTGCAGCCACAGCAGGCTTCAGCCGAGGGCGTTCCCATTCGGCCACAGGCACACTCTGCCAACCCAGTATCATCAGGGCACTGCAGGTGTCCCCAAGATTCCTCTGGAGATGACCCTGCCACCCAGTCTCAGGAACCTGGTGCCAGGGTCTTGTAGCCAGGGCTTTGCTGCTGCCCTTGAATTCTGCTCTCTGTGTCACCAGAAGTGAGGCTGTGGCTAGGGCAGGTCTCCTTAGCTTGCTGCTCCCCAAGCCAGCCCTGCTCTGCAGCATGGAACTAATGAGACTGTACTGCTGGCTGGCTGTCTCAGACCTCAGCTGTGAGGTTTCTCCTCCATGCTCCTCTGCCCTGCTTTGGCAAATGTCTCTTAACACATGCCCTTCTATGGAGGCAAAGTTCACTGACTCAGAAGACAAAGTATCCTTCGTAGCTGCCAGTGTGACTCTTCCTTAAAGAAAGCAGGTCCTGGTCAAGGGTGGTACCAGCTCCCAACAAGTTGTACATGTACGAAGTGGCCAAGTGACTTTTAGCCCAGAGTTCTAGCAAACCCACTGCCTCTGAAATACCAGCCAGGCCAGTAGAGCTGCTAGCCAGCCACCTCCATAGGACCCCAAAGCAGCACACAGCCTTGAAAGAGCATGAAGTCAGAGAACGCACAGGCAAGCCAACAGCAGGTACTTCACCACTAGGAGTAAAGATAGTTCCAAACCACCTTGTATGTTTACTCGTTGAGTCCTGTAAGCAGGTGCTCATTGCCTGAGGCAGACAAGGAACTTGTCCACAGTCCTTCCAAAGCCAGAGTCCAGACTCAACGTAGCTCCTTCATGGCCAGTTTCTTGAGCCAAGATGATGTAATTTAAAATCCTCAGTTGTTTTTCTTTTCCTTCTTGAGAAACTCCTTTATAAGAAAATTCCAGGGGGCTAGAGAGATGGCTCAGAGCTTAAGAGCATTGACTGTTCTTTGTAAAGGTCCTGCGTTCAATTCCCAGCAGCCACACGGCGGCTCACAACCATCTATAATGAGATCTGGTGCCCCCTTCTGGCCTGCGGCACACATGCAGGCAGAACACTGTGTACATAATAGATCTTTAAAAAGGAAAAGAAAATTCCGAAAGCTGTTTTTGTTGCACCTGGTACTATCTTGATTTTCCTTTTGGAATTCTCTCCCTCATCCACAGCCCATCAACTTTGCTAGGCCCTCACCACCATCAGTTTCACACACTGAATGTTGTGGTAAGCTGTTAGTAAAGATGCATCATCCTGGTCCTCCAGATGGATCCACCCGTGTGAATGGCACATAAATTTTGCAGAGGTTGCCCCTGGACAAGCTAGAGACTCCAGGCAGCGTTTTCAGAATTACTCTGGAACAGCCTGAATTAGTCTGAAAGCTGTTATTGGGCCTGGAAAGATGGTTGACTGGTTAAAAGCACTGGCTGCTCTTCTAAAAGACCTAGGTTTGATTCCCAGTACCACATGGTGGCTCACAACTAGCTGTAACTACAGTCCCAGGGGATCTGACACCCTCTTTTGGCCTCCATGACTCCAAGGCATGAACGTGCTACACAGACACACATGCAAGCTAAACACTCATACACATCAAACAAACTAATATTTTAAGCTGTTGTTGCTTCTCAGTAAAAAAATCTTTTCTTTTTTTAAAGGCAGGGTATCCCTGTGTAGACCAGGCTGCCCGCAAACTGAAAGATCCCCTTGTCTCTGCCTCCACGCCTGGCCAAAACCACATTTGTACTTATTCAAGTGAGAGTCGCGTGGTACAACTAGAGTGTGCCGCTGGCACCAAGGGCTGCATGCGGGAAGGCTCTGGTCTTGGTGCCAGCACACGAGGCGCCCGGCCTGGCCCTCTGTGACAGGAATGGGTGGGCTGAGGGGCTAGAATTTCTGTCCCTCTCCTGACGCCCGTGATCTTCACATTCCTGCCCATCATCTCTTGCAGTGCCACCAAACACGATCTGTGGATCAAAACAGAAAGATAGCTCGGCAAATCCTCCAGGAGAAAGTGGATGTTTTCTACAATGGTGAAAACAGCCCTGTTCACAAAGAGAAGCTCGAGGCGGGGAGGAGAAAGCGAGAGAGGAAGAAAAGAGCAAAGGAGACTCTAGAAAAGAAGAGGTTACTGAAAGAACTATGGGAAGCGAGTCACGGAGAAAAGCTCTAATGTTGATGGTGTGTCAGGAGGCTTCTGGCAGTAATGGCGGCAGTGCCTGGCACCAGCATTATAACATCATCTACAAAAGCGTTCTGGAAGTGGGCGTGATGGTATATATCTGCAGTCTCAGCACTTGGGAGAGCTAAGGCAGGAGGATTACTGCAAGCTTCAGAACAACCTCATCTGTACAGCTAGTTCTGCAGCAGCCTTTCCTGCATGGTAAGACCGTCTCAAAAACACAGAAGTGGGAGCCGCAGATATGGCTCGCACCTCCTGCAGAAGGCTCAGGTTCAGTTCCCGGTACCTTCAGAGGGTTACTTACAAGCTTCTTGCCTGTAACTGCAGCTCCAGGAGATCCAGGGCTGCCTTCTGGCCTCCACTCGGCACATACACACACATATGCACATGCATAAATAATTTTAAGAACCTTTTAAAAATAAATATCACACTGGTAGATTTAAAAGAACAAAGTTTTAGCCAGGCCTTGTGGCGCACACCTTTAATCCCAGCACTTGGGGAGGCAGAGGTAGACAGATCACTGTGAGTTTGAGGCCAGCCTGGTCTACACAGTCCAAGACAGCCAAGGCTACACAAAGAAACCATGTCTCAAGAGAGACGAAAAAAATAAAAAGTTTTAGATTTTCTTAAATTGTGTATGTGGGGTATGGGTCATGTCTACATGAATGCAGGTACACACTGAGGCCAAAAGATTCAGATCCTCCTAGATCTGGAGTTACAGGAGGTTGTAATCTGCTCAGCCTGAGCGCTGGGAGCTGATCTTGGGTCCTCTTCAAAAGCAGTGTGCACCCTGAATCACTGAGCCATCTCTCCAGAGCCAGCCGTCAATTTTTTAAGTGGTTGACTACAGCCAATAGTGATACACTTCCAAGAATAAAACTGTAGGGCTGGGGAGGGGACCCGTCAGGCACTTGCTGCCAAGCCTGACCCAGAGTTGTCTTCAGACCTCTGCACGCACTGTGTCACATATACAAATATACACAGTCGATAAATGTAAAGAATGATACTGTATGGCACACAGAAGGACACTACAGTAAGAGGACAGTAGTCGGTCTGTGAATTGCCACTGCTTCGTGAGCGGCTGGCAAAGCACCTTGATTTGGGAAGTGGTTACAAAAATATCCCCCTTTGTGTTTCTTTGGTTTTGAGACAGGATCCCATGTGTCCCAGGTTGGCCTTGATCGCTGTGGAATCAAGGATAATCTTGAATTCCTGATCTTCCTGTGCCCCTCCCATATTCTAAGATGATGCAAGGCTATGCAACATGTCTGTTTTTGAGACTGGCCTCCAGACAGGAGGCTGTCCGGTCATCCCAAATGTTGGGATTAAGTGTGCATACCTCTGCACCTAGTAATACACTGATCTGCTAAAAAGGTGGAAAATAGGGCTGACAGTGTGCAGAGACACTTGTTACAAAGCCTGACAGCGTGAGTTTAGATCCTCAAAATCCACCAAAGGGTGGAGGGGCAGAACTGACTCCACAAAAGTGCCCTCTGACCTCCTGACATACAGTGTGAATGTGCCCACATATCAAACACAAAAATAAAAGGTTAAGGCAAAAGCAATTTGAAAAGGTGCTGATATTAGATAAGCCCATCTTGGGCTGGAGAAATGGCTCAGAGGTTAAGAGCACTGGCTGCTCTTCCTAAGGAAGGTCCTGAGTTCAATTCCTAGCAACTATATGGTGGCTCATAACCATCTATAATGAGGACTGGTACCCTCTTCTGGCATGCAAGCATACATGCAGACAGAACACCATATAAATAATCAATCTTAGATAAGCCCATCTTTATAGCAGGTTGAGTCAAACAATAAATAGCATTTAGTAGTATCTTGTCCACTCTAGGGCCACTGCTGAGCTGTCTTAAGGCTTGTTTATCCTTTGTTTCTGGTAAAGAGAAAATGACAGCAGAATGTTACAAAGTTACCTGCTGTGCCTACTAGTTTGAACAGACAAAGTAGAATCACCAGGGAAGTTTTAAGGAGAACTTACCTCGATTGCTGTAGGTATGTGAGGGAACTGTCCTGATTGTTAACTGAATTAGAAAGACCCAGCCCATTGTGGGCAGCAGCATTCCCTAAGCAGGAATCCTGACTGCTGTAGAACACAGCTAAGAGCAAGTAACAATGCCTTTATATTCTCTGCTTGACTGTGAACGTGCTATGGCCAGCTGCTTGAATTCCTGCCCTGACTGCCCCGAAGTGATGAATTATAACTTGAAGCTGTAAGCTGAATAAACTCCTCTTTCCTAAATTACTTTCTTCCAGAGCATTTTATCACAACAGAAATGCCAGTGGAACTTGTCATGTATGTCAAAAGTTCTTCATTCCCTGTATATGAGCAAGTAGATTTTTTCAGAACCTGATTAATGTTTCCATCATCATCCACTGGACCTTACAGTCTTGGTTTTGGAGATAAGGTCTCACATAGCACAGGCCAACCTTGAGTTCTTCCTGTCTCTGGATCACCGACCACCACCACACAAGGCTACAGATGGTTTTTCATGTGTTTAAACCAGTTGGTAACTTTCTCTATTAGAACTCCAAAGGTGGTACATGCCTTTAATCCCAGCTGTTGGGAGGCAGAGGCGGGCCTCATCTCTTAGCTCAAGTGCTAGAGACCAGCTCCAGCACACAGGGTAAACCAAGGCAGGTCGCAGCACTGGCGATGACCAGTTGGTAGCTGGTGTTTCTCTCTATACTTTAACTCTTAATCTTTCAGGCTGGTAGCCTTGCTATTTGGGTCTCTCTATATATAGTTTAACTCTCAGAGGCTGCTGGTCACAAGCGCCTCCAAAAGAAAAGGGAGGTGGCAGGAAAATGAACCCTGAACTTTCAGAGTCAGGGTCTGAAGCTTTAACAATTGAGCTATCCACAAAAAACAGCTCTCCGGCTAAAACTTTTTATTGTTTAACAGCAGAGGGTCTTAGTCAGTTAAGTACCAGCAGCTACAGCCTTGACACTTTCTTGCTGTAAATACAGGAAGTTGCAAAAAGAAAAACATGAATTCTTTTTAACTTAACGGCTCGGCAGTGAATGGCAGCTTGCTGGAGGCTAGAGTCCCAATAACACCCTGGACTTATCACTTACTAAACTTACAAGACTTAGAAGCATACAAAAACAACACACATTTGGCAGACGAAGCAAGCAGATCTTTGTGAACCTCACACACATGCACACATACAATCAATAGACAAAACAAGGGAGCTCCTTGCCAAAGACACCATTCATCCACATACATGTAAACATAGAGGTATAAATATATACATATAGACAATATATACAGTCAGACATATAAACAGATTTTCGGATGAAGCAGGTGACCTCAACAAATGTTTAATTCTGTCTTGGGTTTTATACTGTCTAATACAAAGGTTCTCTATTGAAAAATTAACTCATTCAAAAATACACAATCATTACATAAAAAGGGAGTTTCGGCAGGACTGTTGATCCTAATATCTAAGTAGATACTGTTATTATAACTTTAAGGCAGTGGTTTTATCTATATGTTCATTATGAGTTCAAAGCAGAAGTTTTATTTCAAATGTACATTATGTGTTCAAAGCAAGTTTTTTTTTTGTTAAGGTTTTTCTAGGATCTTATCTTGGGGCCTTATTCTTGGACTAAACCTAGAATGAATATATCTCCTTGATTTGTTGCAATCTTGTTCTCCCACTTGTGTAAATCAGGTGCTTGACAGATGGAGGTCCACAGAGCACCTAGGTTTTTGCAGAAGTTTTTAAATTACTTGAATCCAGTCAGAAATTTTTTCAAATTATCATCAAGGGTTATGAAATCATCAATTCATTTAAACAGCACTATGAAGGTAATCTTCAAAATAATCTGCAGAGATCTGCCCAACAGAGTGAAGCAGTAAGCAGTGAGGGTCTCTGCCATGCCAGCTGAGACAAGCATAGAAAGGCAGTATAGCAACAATAAGCAGTCCTGAGGCAAAATCCTCGGGGCTTTGCCTACACCAGGGATACACCCATTGGTCAGCCTTGCAAAAGTGAGTGGGCTGCCTCCAGCAAGCTTGCTTGCTTCTGCCAAGTCAGCATGTAATTGCTCCCAGAATTCAAGGCCAGCCTGGCCTACATAGCAAACTCCAGGACAGCCAGAGCTACATACTGAGACCTGGTCTTGGAAGAGAAGGGACAATGCTGTGAGGGGAGGCACATTGTTGCCTGCCTCACCTGTGCAGGAGGCCCCAGGCTGTCAGGCTGTTCCAGGATAGACATGCTCTGCATTGGGTAAATCTGGGAGCTGTCTAAAACTGCCTGGGATGCGCCGAGCAGGGCTCCCTTGTTGGAACACCAAGGCTCTTCCTTCATCAGCCTTGCTTTGAGCAGCTCTAGAAAGGGACAGGCCCACAGGAAGGCAAGTTTGGAACTTCGCCAAGAAGAGCAGCTTCAGTCTCTCTCCTTTGGCAAACTGGTTCTCTGCTATAGAGATGCAGGGAAGCCCAGGGCCGCCTCCATCAGCCTTTGAACTTTTTATTTTTGGGTTCTTTGCTTCTCGCCTGCAACACTGACTGCACATCTGACACTTGTCTTCATCCAGTCCAGGACAAAACCCAGTGCAGGGTCAGTTTTCATAAAGCAAATACTCTCCAAACTCTGTGGAGAGCACAGACTCTCCTCAGCACTAGAGAACACTACACTATGAAAAATACTCGTTTTTAAGGCAATGCCTCACTATGTAATCCTGTTGTGGCACCAAGTATGTGACCTTCCTGCCTCTGCCTTTCAAGGAGTGAGCCTTGGTCCCCAGCAGAGAGATCCTTGGAGCACCACCTACCTGTGAATATGGTAGCAGCAGCCACAGCTGTCCGCCATAGTCTTGTCAGCCCTGTGGATCTCTGTAATCCTGGAGATTTAGGCATCAGCACAGAAGCCTCTGGGCCAGACAGGAAATGCCCTTAGAAGATATGGCCAGGCCCTCCCTCAGGAGCTTCAGTGGTGACTGCAATACTTGGGGAACCAAGACAAGAACTCTGAGTTCAAGGCCATGGTCACTGATAGACTGTAAGACTCTGCTCCCCCAAAGAAAAGCAAGCACTCAAGACCCCAAGGACCCAACATCTTAATACAAACTGTTAATGAAAATAAGCTTTATTACATCAAGTAATAAATACAAAGATGCAACAGTTTCAGTCGTTTTCTTCCAGATGTTGTGATCGGCTCACAGTAAACATGGAACTGAGATCTACGGTCTCAGGATGGACATTTGCAGGGCGAGCGGTAGGTTGAGTAATTGCTCTTCTGTGTTTATGACCTGTGCATTCTTAAGATTGACTTCAAAGCACTCAGTCATGCAGATACTTAAGCAGAGAAGCTCCCTGAAGCAGGGTCTACGCTGTACACAGGCAGGCCAGCCACCAAGCAAAGGTGCTGTGGTGTGCACGCAAGTCCTCAGGCAGGTGAGCTCATGGAAAGGAAGTCAACTGGGGTGATGCAGATGGAAAATGTATCCAGAGGGAAATTAAAGGGGACACTGGTATTTGGGGGGCAAACAATAGCTTGCTCTGAAGTGGCTTCACAAATGTCTTTCAGATGCTTGGAAAGAAAAGAGCCGAGTCATTCCTAACTACTTAAAATGCACATGGTCAGAAACTGCAAAATGTCTTCCCAATCTTTTGAGTGTGGGTTCAGAGCTTAATGATCGCCGTAGAACTACTGCCATTTTGAACAACGCCTCGCATCTCCATGGAGTAGCAAGATGGGCCTTCAGACTGGCCAAGGCTAGGACCTGGCATTACGTTCTGTTTCAGCCAAGCACTCCCGAACCAGGCTTCGGGCATGAATGATGCCTGTAAGGAAAAGCAGAGACTGGCATCAGTCAATTCACAGAGAAGGAAAACCACCTGCTGGCTAAACCTCAGCCACAAAGTCTTCATTCTACAGGGGAGTGGAAGGTCTACATCCAAATACCTGGAAAGGCCAGGCTGCTCTGGAGGCTATGACGAGGGAAGATCATTTGAACCTAGGAGTTCAAGGCCAGCAACATAATTATCCTTTCTTTAAAAAACAATGCTATGCCCAGGCATGGCTGCTCCCACCTGCAGTCCCAGGACTCTCAATGAATTGGAGGACAGCCTCAAATCTTGTCACACTGATGTGACATGTATGGCTGGATGACACAAACTCTTCCCATTCCTGTAGGGCCAGCAGCTTCCCCAGAATGTACCCTAAAATGGCCACTTGGTACATCCATATGTAATTTAATCCACTGGCTTTTGGGGTGAATGCAAATTTGCTTAAGATTCACAGGTTAGCATCTTCCCAAAAATTTCTATCTGTGGAACCAGCTCTGCAGCTCTCCGAACTACCTCATCTCACTTCCTTCTGCTGTGGAAGTAGCAGTGCTGATACCACCAGAGACCCCATCTCTCTCTCTGCCAGTTGCCATCTCCAGTCCTATCCCCACTTATACCCAGTCTAGCTTTAGTCAGTCGCCTTCTTCAGAGATCACATGAACTCGGGCAAAGCCTGGCTCTCTCGGCTGCAGCCTGTCCTTCAGCTGGCCTAGCTATGACTGGGAAGTGTGACTTCAGTGCAGCCTTCTGTCCCTGATCAGGGACATGTGATCCAGGCCATGTCCACTCTCTCCCAGGTCATTCTGCGATGTTTTTAATCAACCAGGTGCCTCCTAGTCATGAATGAACCCAGGGCCTTGGCTCCTATGACAACTTCTAAAATAGAACTCCTCTCCCTCAGCAGCTTTGTCATGAGGTAGGACATGGCTCAGCACATGCTTCCCAACTCAACACCCTGGGTCCCTTGCTTTCTGTGACATCACCCTCCCTTTTTCAGTCACTAAAGAATCCCAAGGGGAATGGGAGCAGTTTTAATGAGCAGAGTTTCAATTTTGTAAGATAAAAAGGTTCTGGATACAGTGTGATGATTATTAAAAAATGAGTGAACTTCATTTAATGTTAAATTGTGTGTTATATATATTTTGCCAAATTTTTTTTTTTAAATCCAAAAAAGGAAATCTCAAAATGCTCCCCTACAAAGACCAGAGGACAGGCCATACTACAGACGTGACAGCAGTGGGCAGTACAGACACCAAGGAACCCTGACCCCAAAGCCACCCAGTGGCCTATGCAGTCAAAGGCACTAAGGGGCCTATAGTGTGGCCCCATAGGCGCACAGACAAGGGTGAGCTTAGGGACACAAGGGGAACAAGAACTCCATTAGGCCAGTAGAACCTCTCTGGCTCACTTCCTTGCCCTTCTCAGAAACCCCACGAGCCCCTCCCCCGCCATAACCTTCTATGGTTGCCGCAGCAGCAGCATACATTTCTCAAGATCAAGGGACCTTTCCCTGACCACCTTCATTGCTTTCCCTAGGAAACCTCTTAGCCTGGCTTCCTGCCTCAGACTCTCAAATATCCAGGACTGCATGCTCAGCTTCAGGAAGTCCAACAGTGATGAGCAACATTCAGTCCCCAACTATGTCCCCTGCTTACCTCGTTTCAGTCTCTCCATGGCGCTCTTGCTCCCTGCATATGTGGGTCTGATCTCTTTCCCCAACTCCTCAATGATGGCCAGCAGTTCTGCATATTTACTCTGAGGCACCTGGCTATTTCCAGTTCCCTAGGACCAGAAAACAAGGATTTGGATGGACTGACCCACCCCAGTGGCCACATAGGTGGAAGGAAAGTGACCTAGACCTGGGCTCCCAGGGCTGCCCCAGCTGCAGCATGTCCCATAGGTATAACTCCAGGGAAAAGATCCTCACCCTCTGTCCCCAACTCAGAAAACATGCCAGCTCCATCCAGAAATACCACTTTACCATCCACACAGGAAAGAGATCTGGCTGTCAAAGTGACAAGTATAGGAAGCACTGGATCCATGAGGCAAAGAGGGGGTGCTTCCTAGAAGTCAAGTGTCCACAAAGAGTGGGAGACAGAGGTTACCCCTGAAAGACCTCAACAATCACTAAGGACTCAGGACGAGCCTAAAATTTTATCAGACACACCACATCCTCCCCACAGAAAGCCTTTATCTCCAGGATATGGCCCAAGCAAGCACCCAGATCAGCGAGGGCCCTGTCTCGAGCCTCTCCTCTTCCTGTCGCAGCTGGACTATGGTGGCCAGCTCTCTGTCCAGGACTTTGGCCTGCTCCTCTTGCCTCTGCTGCCTCCACTCCCAAGCCTCGCCACCTAGCCTGAAAGCCAGGCCTTGGAGCTCGGCCTCCTGGCACATCCGCCTCTTGGCCTCCCGCTTCTCCCAGCGCCGGCGCCGCATGGCCAGGGCATTGCGCTGCCGCTCCAAGCTGCGCCTCAGCCCGTCCTCCCGCCGCCTCCGCTTCTTCAGCCTGTCCCGTTCCCGAGCCCGTGCCTCCTTCTCCTCCTGGGACAGGACAGGCTGTCGGGGCATGGCTGGAGGTTGGACACAGCCCCCTTAGCCAAGCAGAGACCTCCATGGCAACCCTGGAACTCTGGCTGGGGTTTGGCCCACAGAAAGAATCTTTCTGTTAGCAACCAGGGTTGCAAGAAACCTTTTCAGTCATAGCAGATTCTGCAGTCCCCTGCAGATTCCACTCAGATACAGAAGCACCCAGCTGCCTCCTGACCGTGACCGAAAAGAGATCTGGGTCTCCAAGAAGCTCATGGTCTTATAAAGAATGAACCAGTTATAAACCTAGCAGCTGACTTGGGACCACATCCATAACCAAATAGGCTGTTGCCAACTCCTGTGTCACAGCATAGAGGTCCAACACCAGTTAGCCCTTACTTGTTCGGGGAACAAGCAAAGCAACCCACAGAGACATGCACCTGGCAGCTCAAACAGCTCGGTTTATTGTGGCCCTTTCCTGTTTTCCATACCTAACCCTCACGTGCCCCTAAACCAGTCCCAATCGCCCTTCATTCTAATCCCTCAAGTGAATAATGGGAGCCAAGCCCCAGCCATGGCTAAGGAAACACAGGAGAACACGGCGACCACTCTGATCTACCTCTGTCCTCTCAATCCCTTCCAACAGCAGTGGTCCTTATCCGCTTAGTGTTCCCGCTGCCCCCAGGGCCCTTTCATCACCCACACGTGCACACCTGGGTGTAGCCTAGCGATGGAGGCCCATAGTCACTCAGCAGCTGACGGTATTGAGAGGAGGTCGCCATGCTGGTAGAAGGTGAGTGGACGTTTCCTGCAGCGAGAGAGAGAAGTCAGAGATCCGCAGCCTGGGACAGCTGCACCAGAGGGCGGTGGGTACCGAAACAGGCCATCATCCCAGCTCCCCTCCACCCGGGACCCTCCCTCGTGAACTTCTGTTTTACAGGACAGAGACCTCAGCTCAACCTCTAACCGTCATGGCCTGGGAACCAATCTAGATGAATGAAAGTAAGTCCATAAAGAGCAGCCACTCCCAAACACCCAGTACCTCAGAAGACACAGCCCACCTTAGCCCGACCACCCGACTCCAAAAGAGCTGAAGCTGACAGCGGTGTCCAGCCTAACCCTTGCTGACCCCATCTCAGACCCCACTCACTTGAAGCTGAGCTACCTCCTGTGACTGGCAGCTACAAGGTTGGTCTAACCTGGGCTAGAATTTCTTAAGCACAGCCACATCTGTGCTCCTATGCACCCACCTCTGCTGGACAAATACACCAAGGAAAACCCACAAAGTTACCAAGGCACAGAACCCCAGAGAGTGACAGGTGTGCTACATGCACACAAAGCACGGCTCTGGAGAACAGCCTTTGTGCCTCAGACACATGAGCCTCAGGAGCCCCTCAGCCTTCCCAAAGAGAGACGGAACTCGTGTCATGCAAGATGCACATGATGCATCGCAGCGCTCTCTCTCTCTCTCTCTCTCTCTCTCACACACACACACACACACACACACACACAAGGCTCTATACTCCAAAAAGAGGGGCTTAAGCCCGCATATATGGAACCCAGCACTTTCGAGCACTACCCAGGTGCAGTAGAACAAAGCAGGGTGAGAGCCCAGCACAGAGTGTCAGCTCTCCTGGATGTGCAATGAGGAGGCCCCTGGCTGGAGCATGCAGACCCATAATGGCAACCAAGTGGCCATTAGGCGGGTAAAGGATGTCCTTCGAATTACAAACAGCAGTAACCATGGAGAATTTACCTAGTCCTCCTCGGCAGCTGTCCGACCACCGCCCCCAGAGCCAAACTGTCTCTCACGAACACAGCGGACTCAGCCGACTTGGCCCCGGGGATGGACAGCTGGTGCCAGGCTGGCCAAGTCACCAGCTGCTCACTTGGTGTGGGCGAGGGGAGGGGCAGGAGGAAGGAAGTTCAGGAGCTGGGTCTGCTGGAGCTGGGAGGAGCCGTGAATCCCAGGGCCTGGGCAGGGTGAGCCACACTGCACAGAAGTGGCTAAGCAACAAGCTGGCAGCCCCAGCGCCTGACTCTGCCCAAGCGAGGGGAGCAGCGCTGGTACAGACTGTCCCCCCGGGTTTAGGAACCAAGTATAAATGTGGTTCCTGAGTAAAGCATACTACGGACATGGCCCCAACTTCAGCAACCTTGGCTTCACCGCCGCGGCCAAACTCCATTTCCCAAGCCTTCAGAGATGGCTCCTTTGCAGGCCTGGAGATGGGCTCCAATCCTGCCCACTACAGGCTGTCAAGCCCTTTCTGGGCTCGCATGAGCTAGGAGCTAAATGCTGAAGACCCAGCACTTGCAGCCTTCAGACGATGCCAGCACCATGTAGGAATAGAATGGCCATCCTTGAAGGCCCAGGGGGAAATCCTGTGCACGTCAGGCTTTTCACTATTTCTCACCTCCCTGTCACATCTTCTCTCCTGGACTTGGGGTCTGTCCCAGCAGTCCCTGGATGTGGGACCTCTCCGTCAAGGCCCTTCCAGGCCTCAGTTTCTCCACCTATTTGAGGCCATACAACCCAATAGAAGGTTTTTGCTACATTTTGATAACGTTGGAGATAGCCCTAGGGGCTGGGGTAGAGGAAGAATGAGAAACAGCTCTATACTGTGGAGGACCTCAGGCTGTACCTCAGAGGCTGCAGGACTGGAGTTGAACCTGACTGTGTGAAAGCCAGCGCTATATTCAGTTTGGGGGACGGTGTCTGCTCCCCTGGGGAGTCATGGTGGAGGGGTCCTCCGCACCACTCATGCCCTCTCCTTCCCCAAGACCTGGGCTGAGGGAGGCCAGGGAGGCGGCTCCACGTCAGCACAGCCGGTGTGGAGCACCTCAGACAATGAACGCAGTGTGCAGAGAGCCGGGAGGGCTTGGCAGAGGCCAGGAAGCTCCTGGGGCCAGGCCCAGCTCCCCACCCCCACGCCAGACAAAGAGCGGCCTGGGCCTGGGGAGCTGGCGGCCTTCCCGCCACTTGGGGCGCCGGTTGGGGGGGGCTCCCGGGCGGGGGAGGCGGGGGCTTTGTCTAACTCCGCCACTGCCACCGCCGGCCAGGCCGCAGCTTAGCAACTCAGTGAGCAGGAGGCAGGGCTGGAGGGCGTGAGGGATGATGACAGGGAAGGCGGAGGAGCCGCTGTGAGAGTCCATCTTGGATGCAGATGGCCGGGGAGAGCGCGGCTTTCTGCAAAGTAAAACCGGCAGGGGGGTGGGCCCCTACCAAAACGCCCGACCCTTGGAGACCCCGGCACGCCTCGGGGTATTCCCTATTGGGAAAAGAACTAGGGCTGAATGCAGGTGCTCGCAAGCCTAGGACAGGGCTACAGAGTCCCAGGACCCACACGACAAACGGTCCCAATGCAAGACCCAGGGGGAACTATCCCAGATCAAGCCTCGTTCCCTGGCCTCCCTCAGGCTGGCAAGAGACCTACTGCCCTATCCTAGACACTGTGGATCAAGAAGGCTGGGAGACAAAAATCCTACCTGGCAACAAAGCCTGTCGCCTAAAGGGGGGGAAACCACTTGAAGTGATACAGCGGCTGAACGCTCATGGGGGCTCCGAGAGCGTTAACTCTCCCAGGATGGCACCCTAAATCTAATCCTTCAATCCCCAAGGAGCCGAGAAGTTTAAAACACACGACCAGGGCTTTCCGAGGTCCCACTGGGGGTTTCTGGAGTTCTGGAATCAACATTTGGACACAAGAACTCCATCCAAATTGAATATGCCAGCATGGGTGGAATTTTTAACACGCAACGACCCTAACCAATTCTGCCCCCCAACTCCCCACGAAGGCCTCAGCCCCTCCTGATATCCCCCACTTCACGTTTGGAGGGAGGGTCTGTTCACAGCCAAATACACAAAGCCGGCCACCTCCGAAAGCCACTTTCACACCAGTATGCCGGGTTCCCCGGGGTCTGGGGCTAACTCTGCCCCCCCATGTCCCGCCACGGCGGCGAGAGCTGCCTGGCAACTTTGCAGGAGTTTCCCGGCGCCCAGGCCAGGGCGGGGAAAGGACACCGGGTCCCCGGGGATGGCGCGCCTCGGGACGCGTACCCACGTGGGGATTCCGAGATGGGGACCCCTGGGAGTCGCGGGCCCCAGCACGCCGCCCGCAGGGCCCCCGAGGCCCCCGCGCTTTGAACTTCTTCCAAGGGGCCTCCGGAGGCCGGGGGAAGAGAAACCCAGGATCCGCGCCCGGAGCCAGGCCACGGGCCCTGCCCCCGCCGGCCGCGACCCCGGACAGGCTGCCTCCGGGCCGGCGGCCTCTCGGCCTCCTCGCGCCGGCCCGCTCCGCCGACCCCCGGAGCCCCGCGCCGCCCGGCCGCTCCCGCCTCCCGCCGGCAGGGGCCCTCGCCGAGCCGCCCAAAAAGCCTAAGGGAAATTTGAAAT